TCGTCAAGGTTCATGTTTCGGAGTTATAGAGTTGAGAGAGGGTTATAGCCACAAAATAAGTAGCGTCCTCGTTTGTAGTGGCCTTCTCGGCCTTGAGGAGGTGAAGTAAAATTTAAAAAAAAAAAAAAAATATATATAAAAATATATATATATATATATATATATATATATATATATATATATATATATATATATATATATATATATATATATATATATATATATATATTTGAAAGAAGACATCTTGTACGAGAGTATATTATGTATTATTTTAAAACATCAAGAAGTACAGTTTCTCTCAATACAAACAATTTTATTATAGAAATAATCGCTGGGTTATGGACACCAGCTTGCATCAGCTTGTAAAATATTACAATAATTATAATCGCTATAGTTTATATAAAATTGTTACTATTAACGTCAGCGGTTATAATTAAACAATAATTTAACAGCTATTTTAAAGGTTTTCTCTACATAGCTTAGTCCATTTATAGTAAACATCATTTGCAAAAAATAAATTAAAAAATATTTTAATTGACATGTTTATTAAATATGGGTAGGATGAAAAGCTATTGAGGAATACTACACACCAACTTCATACAATTCCATCAGAATGCAATAATTTTTCTGTAGTGTCTTTACTTTGGGTACCAGGCCTTTCACCAAAACTTCGAAAAACATTCCGAAAAGCCGGGTATAGAAAAGTATTTAAATCAAACTCAAATTTAAAATCTTTATTAACATTAAAAAACAAAACAAAACTATCAAGTAACTGCAAGCCTGGAGCCTATATAATAAAATGCAACTGCTCTAAAATTTTTATAGGTGAAACAAAAATGTTGGTAAATACGCGGATGCATCAACATCAGAAGAGTATTAATGAAAACAAACTTAATCAACCTGCATTAGCATTTCATAAAACCTTTTGCAAAGAAGATATTATTTGGGAAAAAACAAGAACGTTAAAGGTAGAAAAAAGAAGTTTGAAAGAAAAATTAGAGAGGTACTAGAAATACAAAATAACATGTCCTCTGCACGAAACGGCGTAGTTAATCTTGATGAATGCCAATACTTTAAAACTATGTTTTGGACGCCATTTCTAAAATTTAAAAATCAAAAGAAGCCATTCAACCGCTGACGTCAAAAGTAACAATTTTATATAAACTATAACGATTAAAATTATTATAAAATTTTACAAGCTGATAATGCTGGTATCCACAACCCAGCAAAAATTTCTATAATAAAATTATTTGTATTGAGAGAAACTGTATTTCTTGTTGTTTTAAAATAATATATATATATATATATATATATATATATATATATATATATATATATATATATATATATATATATATATATACATATATATATATATATATATATATATACATATATATATATATATATATATATATATATATATATATATATATATATATATATATATATATATATATATATATATATATATATATAATTTCTAATAGTTTTTTTAGAAATTATAATTTCTAAAAAAAACACTTTATTTCTAAAAAAAATGCAAAAATCTTTATTTTGAAATTTCTAAAAAAAAATCAAAAAAAAAAAAACGAAAAAAAAATCTTTTGTATTGTATATCAGTTACGTTGCTCTGCGTTTTTTATAAGTTCTTTATATTTTTATCAATTGTAAATTTTTTATCAATATGTTCTGAAAATTAAAAAAAAATCCGTTTTCTTCAAATATTAAACAGTAAAAATCATGCCATTAAAAACACAATCGAATTGGAAGATGAAAACAAAAGATTAAATTTTTTAGATATCCAAATAACCAAGAATCAAAAAAGTAACAATGATTTTAACATACATTGAAAAAAAGTAATAACAAATATTCAGATCGAACCCAATTTAAACCACAATCCAAAAATTTTAGAAGTAATATTTGAAGGATTTATTCATAGAGGTTTCCCAGTAAACACACAAATGTCTTTTAAACGTCAATACAACCTTCAGGTTTTGTCGATTATCCGTTTAAGATCCAGATTAACATTGAGAACAAACGCACATAAACATCGATATTTAAACGTATTTTAGACGTCTATTACAGGATTATTAAACGTATATAAAGCTTTTGTTTAATTTATATTAAAATCTAGTATACTTAACGTAAATAAAGCGTTTAGATTTATTATAAGTAAAAGTATATTAAACTTTTAGATCTTGTCTAATAGTTTCTTTTATTTAGCAAACGTAATTTCAATTTACTTAAAACTTTAAACTTATATAAATTAAAACTACGTTATATGAGAATCAAAATTGAGCTATATAGGTCTTGAAATTTATAAATTAGATATGGTTAGAAAAAATTTAAAAATTAGATATGGTTATAAAAAAATTAAGTGATCAAGCTTTTTGAAATGGAAACTTTTATAGTAACAATTTTTATCAAACATTTTTTAAATTTAATCTCATTAGCAGAAATTAAAATTTTACATTTAGATTAATTTGAAAATTAAAAATAAAATAAATAAACTCATTAATAAATATTTCGGATCACTGTTTTCTCTGGTTTATGCATTATCAAAAATCTTTATAGTATACCGTCTATCGTTTGATTATCATGCACCTGTTCTTGTGCAAAATCATCTACAATCGTATCCGGATCGTCTAATCTTGTAACCAAATTTGTAACCGCAAAAAACTAGGGTAAAATAGTTAGCATTTTAAATGTACATTCATAAATAAAAATTGGAATTACACAAAATAACTTTAAATATAGAGGCTTTTCTGAATGTAAGTTTTTCGAAATTACTGTACCACCCATGTACCAGCCATGTATATTTTTGACATTAAAACATTAGTTACGTTGCGACATAACATATGCAGTGGTTTTTACCAGCTCTGTTCCGCCAATTTTTCTTGACAAATTTAAGTAAATTAAGCTTAAAAGCATCTAAAATTAAAAAATAAATATTTACTTATTAAACCTCTTGATTATTGGAAAGACCTACTGTTACACAATCATACGTTTACAAAATGATTTTAAACTGTTTATAAAACTTTCATAACGAGAGACGAGAAACTCATATTTTTAACTGTGTCAATGTAGCCATCTATAATTTCTATAACATCGGAATCCATTGATTTAATAGTATTTAGGAAGGTAGATTGTCGCAAAAAGAGCTTTTTAACTTCCGTGATTTAAAATGGCTTACCCGAAACTCGTTTATTATTTATTTATCAGACATGTTGTTTTTAGTTGTTGTGAGGAAGTGAATCTTGAAAACGCATTTAAGTCTAATTTTTTTATTTAGCCAATGAAAAACAATTTTTTAGCAGTAAAACGAAAATATTTTTTATTTATTCTAGTTAAGGATGCATTGTTTTAAAATCCGGCTTTTATTTTATATATTTAATTAAAATTACTTTTTCAGCGAAAACTCTATAGTTCCATGTAATTATTCCAGATTTTATGCGGAACGCATTTATCTGGAATAATTACATGGAACTACCGCCGCCACACATACCTACTTTTTGTAGCCGCCACTTTGCGTTATTAACAACTACTGAGCTATATATGGCTGGAAGAAAAAAAAAAGATGAGTTTAATAACCCAAAGTTCTCTTGTATAATAGTAGCAAGTTATTTGGAGCATCATTTTGTTTGTGTGTAGCTTTTCGATTTGCTATTTAAATTTTCTCTGAGATAAAATAGTAACGACGCATTCCTCCTTTATATAAGTACATCAATATCCGCTACTTCTTTTATATTTTAAATATTCTTGGCTTATAAGTTTTTTTTATCGCTTTAACATTTTTCAACTTAAATTAGCCGAATTAAACACAAAAGGAGTTTGTATTACTTAGTAATGGATCAAAAAAATCACGTATTTCACATAACAGTTCTTTAAAATACTTGCACATTAGACTTTGTAGCTCATTTAAAAAAACAGCCAAAGAGTTATCATTAATATGGAAATACTATGGTCAAATATTGACTCAAAATTGTAAAGTTATCAACGGTGAACATTATAACTGTAGCAAATGTTTTTTTATTTAAAAAAAAGTAGAGTCCTCAAGTGCAGGTCATTTATTAAAAATTCACAAGGTTAGGGTTTCCAAATCAAGCAGTAATTTGAAAATCATCTATTTTTTGTCCACAAAACATTAACAGACAAACGTGATCTTGTCCTTTGGCTTTATATATATATATATGTATATATATATATATATATATATATATATATATATATATATATTTATATATATATATATATATATATATATATATACATATATATATATATATATATATATATATATATATATATATATATATATATATATATATATATATATATATATATATATATATATGTATATATATGTATATATATATATATATATATTCATATATACATATATACATATATATATATATATATATATATATATATATATATATATATTATATATCTATATATATATATATATATATATATATATATATATATATATATATATATATATATATATATATATATATGTGTGTGTGTATATATATTTATATATCGTGGGCAAAGTAATAGCAATAAATGTGAACATATTTTTATGAAAAACACAATATTATTTAATTTTGACATTCAAAAGATAAATTTACAATTTAAAACTCTAGATATAAATATAATATCATAATTTCAAGATATTACACAGGAATATTAACAGAGAAATAGAATTCTTACAAACCAATAAAAATGGCGAAGAGATTCACAAAAAACATAGAAAAATACAAAAAACTTAGATACAAATTACAAACAAAAAATCTTCTTCAAAAAAGAATAGAATTTTTTTTTAAAAATATATGTTTATATATATATACATATATATATATATATATATATACATATATATATATATATATATATATATATATATATATATATATATATATATATATATATATATATATATATATATATATATTAATTCTAAATCTTATAGATAAAGTATTTTTTTGTAGAACGCAGGTTGTGAGAAAGATTTATGTTTGAACAATTCAACGTGTGTACCAAACTATAAAGACGATAGCAGCACTTGCACATGTCTTTCTTCAAATTTTGATGGGACATTTTGTGAACGAGGTACATTATTTTTCCTAAATTTTTTTAAATTGCTTATAAAATGATAAACATTTTAGGATACTACAGTCATGTTTTGAGTTCTTACAAAACTTGGCTTAATGATATAGAGACCAACCATAGGTATTATAAAAATAGTACATGACAGTCTAGGTTGTAATAAAAACCACTTATCAAAGTTTTGCTCATACGAAACCATTCAACGTTTTAATAGAACGTTTAAAAAACGTTTTTCTTTTTAAATTTTAAAAATAGTTTTTCTTCTTAAGTAAATACTGAACATATCAACAAAATATGTTATTGTGTCAAAATCATAACAGATGGTTTCATCATTAATTTATCAACTAAAAATTTTGGTTTAAGGAAGGACCTTCTTAAGTAAAAAGAAAACTTTTCCTCAAGTTTAAAATTTCACACTTTTATATTTAAAATATATACAAAACACACTTTGGATTTGACGTTGCTACTTTAAGTCGACTAAAAAAGGCAATTGGTCGAAAAAACCAGTCGACTGAATTTCCAGAAGATCAAAATCTCAGCACGCTGAATAATTAGAAGTTTATGTTATAATTTGATTTGAATATGAAACTAGTTGGTCAAAAATCAAAGTCGTCAAAATCAAAGTTTTCTGAAAGTTAAAAATAAGGTTCAGTTATGCGCAATATTACTTTTTAATAGAAATATTTGTTGTTAAAACGAGTATTTAAAAAGGTGTTTTAAAATGTTTTTTTTTTTTTTCATATTTTACAAAACAAGTTATTTTTAGTGCTACAGATACAAAAATCAATGACCCTTTTTTGTATTCTATAAATTTCGTTTTGTTTAGAACTTAAGGTTGTGTTGCTAAGATACAATAGACAGTATAACTATGGATATGCAGTTCAAGCTTTTATCCAAGAAACAACTTTTAAACAGAAACCATGGTTGGCAAGCACTACGTGTTTGTTAACATTTAACGATGGAAGTACTATAAGTGGCAATCTGGGAGGTCAAGCGTTCGCTTACTTTGTTCCACCAGAAACTGGAACATATTATTTTACTATTTATTGCTCATACTACTGCGTACTATACATTTCGACGGTTGGGAAACAAGACAGGCGGATGTATCTTAGGGATCCGTGAGTAATTTTTTTTTCACTTTTGATAATTAAAGTAGAATATCAAAAAAATGATATTATAATTTAAATATGTTATTTTTTTAAATAGATGTTGTTATGTAAAAGTATAAAGTTTTATTAAATTGTATAATTTAGATCTGTTAAAAGTCCTGGAGTACTTATAGAAAAAAACGAAAAAAAATTTCTGGAAATGTTGATTACTATTCCACCAAATGGTAATAATGTTGGGTATAGTACTGGATTTACATTGGCTGTTACTTTTCCAAATGGAACGATATCTAATCCAGTTGACAACCAATATTTAGCATCAAGAGTTTAAAAACTAGATAAATGCTGACAAATTTCCAATATTTACCTGGTTCGATATTTTAATATTAGAAACAATACATTAGAGTGGATTTACTTTACGTAGGATCCGTGGTCGTGCTTACTTGGGTCGTGCTCGTGTGTTTACAATTTAAAAAAATGTATAGTAATAAGTAAAAACAAGATTTTAGAGAAACTTGATTCACAAAGATATAATTTGAGAAAAAAGTGATTTGAGAGGAACGTTGATTAAAACTTTATAAGAATATTTATTTGTAAGATAAGTGATTTAACAAAATTTAAATAAAAACAAACAAACAAACGAAAACAAAAACAAAAAAAAAAAAACAAAAACAAAAAAAACAACACGCGTCAAGTGTTTAAAGAGCTTAATGTGTAATTTGTAACTTTTTTTTTCAAGTTAATTCGACTCTATGGTTAAACAGCGACTAATGTATATTAGAATTTCACTTTTTATTGAACTGTTATAACCAGAAACTTTATACTTAGATTTTATGAATTTATTATCTATCTATCTATCTATCTATCTATCTATCTATATATATATATATATATATATATATATATATATATATATATATATATATATATATATATATATATATATATATATATATATATATATATATATGTATATATATATATATATATATATATATATACATATATATATATATATATATATATATATATATATATATATATATATATATATAATGATATATATATATAATGATATATATTATATATATATATATATATATATATATATATATATATATATATATATATATATATGTATATATATATATATATATATATTATATATATATATATATATATATATATATATGTATTATATATATATATATATATATATATATATATATATATATATATATATATAAATATATATATATATATATATATATATATGTGTGTATATATATTTATATATATATATTGGGCAAAGTAATAGCAATAAATGTGAACATATTTTTATGAAAAACACGATATTTTAAAATTTTGACATAGTTTTCTACTACATTTTCAAAAGATAAAATTACAGTTTAAACCTCTGGATGTAAATATAATATCAAAATTTGAAGATATTACAGAGGAATATTAACAGAGAAATAGAATTCTTACAAACCAATATAAACGGCTAAGAGATTCACAAAAAAACAAAGAAAAACACAAAAAACTTGAAGATACGAATTACAAACAAAAAAAGAATAGAAAATTTAAAAACTATTTTTATTTTATGCCTGTAATGTCTTCTTTTTTGACGGTTTGATTTTTATAGGTTTGTAACAATTTTTGTTTTTTATTTCACCTGACAATGCTGACCGCTATAGGTCAGCACAATTTTGTAAATATATATTAATATAAAAATATGTTTTAAACAAAAAATTTGTACGCAGCCTTTTAAATCAAACTCAACAAACATGAATATCTTATAACAAGAAAATGATTTTAAAATATGATACTGTAAATAACAAAAAAGTGATAAGTAAATGAAACAAACTAGATTAACAAAATTTTATAATGATGAACAGTTTGTTTATTTAGAGATGGGTTTTATTTAATATAGAGTTCTTTAATTTTCAATTTATTTTTGTTAGGAGCAGTATGGAAGTATCCAAAATTTTAAAACAATTATAGTTACTTAGATTTTTACAAATATCAGATCAAATTAAGTGCTTATAAACATTAGATTGTTTGGAAACATTAGATTGATTATCACTTGAAAGATGCTCATGAATCTTTGTTCTGAGGTTTCTCCATTAAAATTGGCATTACATCCAGCACAAGAAAATTTACAAACAACATTGGAGCAGCTCATCTTTTATACATAAACTGAGTAGCTCATCTTTTATACATAAACTGTTTTGTTATTTCTTGGTAGTGAAATTTAAAATTAATTATAACATCTTTACAATATTTTTTAATGATTTTATTAACTTTAAATTTAGTAAAATTTGAGTAAAGTCCTGTAAATGGAAGTTTATAATATTTTATATTACGGTTATCAATACTATTTATAATATATGGATTTAACTTTTTATCATCAAGTAATTTAAAATCAGGGTCAATTATTTTTAGTGGATATTGGTTATTTTTTAAAACAATAAATAAATTTTTTATCTTCTTACCAAATCCAAGCCATGTGTTGTTGATTTAATATGTTCAACCAGTCAAACAACGTATAAGACTAATTTTATAATAATAGGGAACAACTTGGAAGGAATTTTTATAGCATCTTAATAAACAACATAAAAACTTAAAATTTACCATGGAAATTAGACAAGATAATCAAGTTGCATTTTTAGTTAAATTATCTTTCACCAAAAAAAATTGACACTGAAAATTAAATTATTTGTTGATAAAAAGTTAAATCCACTTGTTATAAATAGTATTGGTAAACCTAATATAAGATATAAAAACTTTCAATAACATTTATAACAAAATCTAGCTTACACTAATCTTAGAATTTCCAACACAAATTTAAACAATTACTGAAGCGTTGGTTCTTAAAAAATACTTTGTCTCATACCATTGGCTTCCTACTTATCAACAAATGACGGGTCAGATTAAAAACAGCATTACCTAACCGTGAACTCATTACAAATCTCTAAAAAAGTAGACATCTGGAAGCGTATTCAGCAAACTTTTTTTTTGCGTAAGTTCAAAACAGTGAAATCCGTATTCACGAAACTTGTAAACCAAACTTACGTAAGTTTTTTCGTAACTTCTGTGCTAAAAAATTGGTATTCACCAAGCTGAAATGGTATTGACAAAACTTTTTATGAACTTGCTCAGCTCAATTTAAGCAAGAAAAGTTACGTTAGCTTTTAGCTACCATAAATTTGGCGTAAAGTTAAAATAACTAAATATTAGAAATAGTGTAATATTATTATGATTCATATATTGTCAGATTGATATAGAATTTTATTATAATATATACAATTCATGTATATAAATACAATATATGTATATAAATTGTATATACTATAATAAAGTTAACAATAATCATAGATATTAAAACAAATAATACTTGTGTTAATATCTATGATTATTATTATTATATATTATTTTTATCTATAAATTATTATGATGCATTTATATTTCAAATATAAATGCCATTTATATTTGAAATACAAATGCATCATAATATTTTTACAACTTAATAACTTAATAACATCTTGATATTTGTTACGTATAAAGTGTTTACTTATTTATGTATGTTTATTTACATATATATGTATTGTGTGTATGCTTGTATATGTATACATGTGTGTATGTATATGTATGAATGTATGTGTTTTGCGTAAATGCGTGTATGTGTTTGTGTGTGTATGTATGTGTGTATGTATGTATATATGTGTATCATAGACACATAGGCATAAATAGGCGTGTGCATATACACATATACATATATGTGTGTATGCGCGCACTGGACATACATACATTCACATACTGTGTGTATGTATGTATATGTTTGTATGAATATCTATGTATGTTTGATTGTGTATGTGTATGTGTGTTTATATATATATATATATGTATATATATATATATATATATATATATATATATATATATATATATATATATATATATATATATATATAAATATATATATATATATATATATATATATGCATATATATAAACACGCGTATATATAGATTAGTAGGTCATCACGTTTTTGTCAGGTATATATATTTGTTTAACAAACTAAAACATTGTGTATTATGATATCATAGTATTATTGTTATATTTTTGTATAATATGATCAATTTATTATCTTATAGTTATAATATAACGTATAATAGGGCTTGAATATATTTAAATTACATGCATCATGATGTGGTATTATAAATAGATATTGATATAACATCTTTATGACAACCATTAAGATGTTATATTATTAATTAAGTTAAACCTAATGTATTTAATTTATTTGTATTAAGATGTTATTATATTATTAATATAACATAACATCTTATGCAAAATAATAGTAACATTGTTAAATAAAATAATATATTATAGTATATTGTATATTATTTGGATTATATTTAAAAAAATGCTGTATTGTTATCATGCAGTTATGATTTTGGTAATATATATAATTATTGAATTATTATATTCATAAAAAACAACTATATCTTTATAAATATTAATAAAAAACTATATATTTACAAAAAAGCAAGTATATCTTTATAAATATTCTATTTCACAGTTCAGTGCTCCTAAACATATGCTTACCCAAACAATATATTGCAAAATATAATTTAAGTGTAAGTTGCTGGAAAACTTTTACAATTATTTAAGGATTAGAAATTCCAGATGACATAAACTTTGAGGACAACAACGAAGATACACTATGTTTAGGTTGAATTAATACAATTCAACCAATTCGACTTGGCATTGTACAAAGAACACGAGTTAAAACAATGTTATTAAATTGAAAGGGATAGGGGATATTTATGATTTACGTGATATTTATGAATGAAAAAAATGAAAGTTTTTTTTGTTATTTATTAATTGCATATTAAACAATTTAAAAATTTATCTGCCTCTAATAACCTCTTTGTAGAATAATCAATTCTGAACCCTCTCTATCTCTTTTCAACTTGAAACTATTTTCCTAATATTTATAATTAGTAATAACCCCTAATTTAAATTAGTTAGAAATTATATGAATTCAATATTAGAAAAGTTTGTTTTATAAAATTACGAAAACTTGGTAAGTTTTTGCGTAAGTTTGGCGCAACTCGTGCGCAACCCTAACTTTACGGAAATGCTGCAAAACATTGGTGAATACCAAAACTACGCTGAACTTACAATTTCCGTAACCTTAGTTGAGCTACGCAAGAGTTACGAAAGTTTGGTGAATCCGCACTCTGGGTATTTGAAAAGATAATTAAGTTTTCCATAGCTTAAGTAGTCGCTGAAATTTATCTAATTTCAATATTATCTAATTTCATTACGTTTAGACCATAATAGATATGAAAATTTGATCTTTTGAATGATTTTGTACAGAAGCTTGATTATTCAATTGTAGATACTTCTATAGAAATCTTATTCAATCGTAGATACTTCTATAGAAATTTGATTTTGTTCCATTTGATAAAAGTCCTACTCATTAAAGTTCTCTCATTTGTTTAAAAGTATCAAAATCTAATTTTTTTTCTGTAATAAAACTTGGTTGTAAAACTTTTGAGCCCAAGAAAGGATTTTGTTATTCGATCCTACAATAGAAGCATACTTCTTATTCCTTTAGTGATACTTTGCAAAATCAATATTTTTCGGCTCTATTATGTGACACGTTAATTTGTGTCACATAACAGAGCTTTATACAGCTCAAAGCTCACGTAAGTTAGGTTTGAAAGCATTTTATTCGTAACCTTCGTGTAAAATAGACTACTTTGTCCTACTTTAGTATTTATAATTTTAATATTATATATTTAAATTTATTCCA